GTGTTACAGTGAGCAGCCAAAGGTAACAAATTGGAATTGTCAGCATTATTTCACATTATCGATTTTTAGTTATATATATAAATATATATTATTGTGTTGTTATTACTATTATTATTGTTATTGTTATTGTTATTTTACTTGGACAAACAAGCCTAGGGTTGGAGAGCCACTCCAGACACTGGGAATTCCTGCAGGTGCCTCCAGCCACAGGTGAGGCTCCAACCCCGCTGTGAGAGAGGGCCCAGCTTTGATAGTGCTGAATAAACAAACTGACAGCACTTCTGGTGTGGGAATATCTGGTTTCATCCTCCTCTTTGTTCCCTACCAAAGCTTGGCCAGGCCTCAAGGAGGAACCAAGGGAGTCAACCCTGACCATACACCCCAAACAAGGCCAGATGTCGGATTTCATGGCCTTGTCTGGCTTCTAAACACAGAAAGGTCAATCCATGTTTCATTGATGAGTGGATACATCTATCACAGTGTTCATGACCATGGATATTTCAGTAATGAGCAGATGGACAGATAACCTTTGGCTGGAAGGTTCATTCAGAGGTCACCTTTGGCTCAGGGCCTGTTGTTCAGGCCTCACTCAGGGCCTGTTGTGCAGACCTTGGCACTTCAGAAACGAGGTTTAGTGGGGGGCTTGACACTGCTGGGTGACTGGCTGGACTGGATGAGCTCAGAGGTCTTTTCCAGCAGAATGGATTCTATAATACCAGGATTCTATCTGCTGCATTCAGCTAGGTCCATTACTTAGCAGCATTACTTTAGTCCAAAAGCCCCCTCTTGCTCAGCTCTTGTGGCCTGAGGCTTCAGCTCCTTCAGCTCCTGGTGCTGAGCTGCTCAAGCTGAAGGAGACAACTGGGAGAGAAGAATAAGTTCATTCAATTCCTTCTGGGACACGGGGAGGGGAAATGTGAAAACAGGAGCATTGTTTGGTGTGGCCTCCTCTCTGCCCTTCACACCTTTCAGTGCTTTGACCCAGCCAAGAGCTTTCTCCAGGATTCAATGAAGCAGCTGTTCCTGCTCCCAGCTCTGGCTCTTCCCAGTCTCTGACCTTGACTGGTTTTGTCCCTCTTGCTGTGCCCTCTGTTCCGCCAGGGGGCTGCCCCAGACTGAGGGATCAGATGCAGGCACTGCTGCTGCTCCCTCGGGACCAGCCCCAGTTTGGTTGTTGCTGTCAGTGCCAGCAGAAGCCGTGGCTGGAGCAGTGGGTGCTGACAGTGCCCCAAGGCCCGGGGCTGGAGGGGTCCCTGGGCTGGGGCTGGGAGGGAGCTGCCCCTTGTTCTCCCTCTGCCTCACACAGAGCTGGGCTGGGCACAAGTGGGCCAGCAAAGCCAACAGGGAGCCTGCGAGTCTCTTCCAGCCGTGCCTGCTCAGGTGGGCAAAGGCAGCTGCTCTGCTCCCTCTGCGTGTCCTTGTGTTCAGCAGTGCTGCTCCATCAGTCTGTGCCCAGCAACGGGGAAAAGCTTCAGCCCTGCAGGGCCAGGAGCTGCCGGGCTCTGCCTGAGCAGCTCAGCCAGCGGGAAGGGAGCTGCTCCACACGGGAACCAGGAGCAAAGGACATGCCTTTTCTAGGACATGTTTTCTGTAAAAAAAACCAACAAAAACAACAAAAGCAAACAAAAAAAACCCCGAAAAAAATATGAAAGATAAAAATTACCCCCAAAAGTGTAGTGAAGAATCTTCTATAACACTGGAGTAAGAAAGAGGTAACTGATCTTTTGAAAAAGAGAACTCAGCTTTGATTTTAGTTCTTAGTTTGTACCCGTGCTAGTGAAAAGGATCCATTAGCTGCCTTCCTTTAGAGATTTTATGGATGTTTTCCAATATTAAGATGTTTTACACTGCAGTTAAAGGAATAGGAAATTGAAATACATGTTCTTCATGACTGTGTCTTGAGTGTAAAAATTTTGCAGTTTGAAACTTGGACCTAAATGATGAAGAATCACACTCAATATGAATGATCAGCAAGTCTCATTTATCGGTAACTCTAACCACTTATATAGCATCAATAATTAGGCTCATACATAGTGCAAAAGCAAGCTCATTATTGGATATTTCATCTAAGGCAAACTCCACCTAATTCCACATTCCTGTGATCGCTCATCTGTGCTGAATTCACATTCTTCTGATCACAGCATCCTGTTCTCAGTTAACAGTTATCACTAAGGCCTTCCTGACCTTGCAACATCTCACACCAACTGTACTCTATTGTCTCATTCTTTCCCAGCTAACTGCTGCATGGGAACATGACCTTTGCTCTCTAGCCATTCCTCTACAATTCCCCTGTTTTCTTTTTGTACTAACAAAACTGTAGAAGTAGCCTTCTTTACCATGTTTTGCAAGCATTGCAGTATGCAAGGAATAAACAGTAGCACAATCACAATGATCAATATAACAACAATTGCCATTTGTGCCAAATATTTTAACCATCCTGTGAGACCTAGGGATTGAAACCATTCCTCTAATGGATTTGTTTCCATGGTTAATATTTTCATATTGTTCTGTAGTTGTCGGAGATGAGCATGAATAGACACTGAATGGTCAGAAAGATTCATGCAACACATCCCATCAAAGTCTTCACAACCATGGCCCTGTGCTAATAGCAAAAAATCAATAGCAGCTCTATTCTGCAATACAGCATGCCTAACACTCTTCATATCCAAAAGCAAATCAGACAAAACCTTTGATGTAATATTAAACTGTTTTCCTGTCCAACATGCTAGTCGTCGTAACTGTGTTAAGGCTTGAGCACTAGATACTCCAGGTGTAAAAATAGATGACACAATCACTGTAGGACGTTCCCAAAGTTCAACCTGATCCTTGCATTCTGGCCCCAATTGGAACACACTTCTCTTTGTTCGTAACCTGGTTCTATTGGCTCCTAATAGTTGCTGTATAGTGGGTGCAAACAATGTCAATTTCCCAAAATAACAAGGCCCTCCATAAATGTTTGCTGGCAGTCCTTGCCATGCACGATCTCCACAGATTAGAAAAATACCAGGTGGTAATTGTAGAGGTGAACTGCTAGAATTTACCTTGTGAGACCAATTGCCACAGTATGCATCATTATTTTGCAAATATAGCAAATTTTGTGGAGAAACATTTGTACCATTTGGCCCATGAGACCTTTTTGCATGATTGTTCCTAGCCCAATTGACAAAAGTTAAACAATAATTGCTAGGGGTTGAGCCTAACAGTCTTAACTCTCGTGGCTCTGACCCGGTAACATTTAAACCTGTAGCAATGTACCAAATTTGAGCACCAATGGGATTTGCTGGGATTAAACCTGTGTCACAGATATTGATCCTGAATTTACCTGATGGAATTTCGCATAATGTTTTGTTTGCTTCTTCGGGCGTTTTCCAATTCTTTGTCCAGTTTTTAAACATTGTGGCATTGAGTGAATCTCCTAAAGGTGCTCCCACTAAACAAGTTCGAAAAGGATCCGAAGGGGTAGCCATTGAAAGAAAAAAATTATCCTGTCCAGTTTGATTAGCCCACGTTACCCACATATTTTGTCTCTCATCCATGTAAATCAAAAACCCTTCATTTCCCTTTATCATGGTAAACCACCATAACAACCTGATCAGAGGTAGTCCTTTAAGAACCTTTAAAGGATTGTGGCAGTTCAGCCAGCATCTTGGCTGGATCCCATGTGAGATCTTGCTTCCCTTTTCTTTTACCCCTCTGCCTCGCCCGTCGATTCGGTTGCTTCGAACCACGGGGTGTTCCATCTTCTCGGCAGCAGGGATAACTTTCAGGGAAAGACCCTTTCTCTCGAGACTGCCATTTTAAGAATTTCTCCCAATTTTTATTTTTTACCCCTGGAATATCACACCTGACCTGTGTAAGTGTTTTATGACAGTGTATTGTGGTTATTTCAATAATATACGGCAAAGGGGTATTAGGATGATAACAATAATTCCTTTTTCAAATTGTCCTGTTTGCACACCTTCCTGTAATGCAACCTCAGTAAAATTTCTTTCAAAGTTGTAACACTCTGTACAAATCCCTCTTGGGGATCGACCCCACTTACAATGTACCCACTATTTCTCTTCATACACTTTACAAATGCAACAATACGAAGGATAACATTCACAATTTGGTACTGTACACAAAATTTTCATGTGAGAGTTCATCAGGGTCTCGTCTCTATGTTGACGGTAGGGAGTGAGAAGTATCTGCTGAATTTTCTGGATCAGCTGAAGGTAAATCACTGGGATCAGCAGGTTTAGTCCATCGGCTTGGCACCCAGACAGGACCTTTAAACTGCACCAAAACCCAAACAACAGCGACTAATTCCAGAGTTTGTAATGTGTCTTCCTTTTGAGCTGGAATAATGTGATGATTCCGTTGTCCTTGTGAATCTTGCCATGTAGCAGCTGTGCGAGATTTCTTTCCAGCATCAGTGAACACAGTTGATGCTCCTGGTAATGGCACAAATGATTGCTTGGGCTTTTCAATCCAATTCTGCTGACCTATCCATCGTAGTGGTATTCGAGGCACCTCCTCAGCACTGACCACACTGCTGTTGTCAAGCAATGCTTCTTGCAGTGTGGAACTGTGAATTAAATACCAATCTAAAGTGTCTTTTTTTTTTTTATTGGTATCTGAATTACAGCTGGATCTGCACCCATAATTTGTCACAATTGCTTCTACTTTTGTTTTATTAAATTTGCTAAAATTTCAATTTTTTGAATTAAGGTATGTCTCTGTTGTAGTGGTGGTAACAACCACTCTAATACCCATATCTCCCCCGTTTTCTTTTGTTGCTGCGTTAAAACACCGATGAGATGTTGAGGTTCAAACCATACAGTAAGGTTAATGTCCAAGTCTGGATCTCGCCTACGAACAACACCTGTCTGGATACAGTCCATTATTTTATTGAGAGCTTCTTGTTGTTCACTGGTGACCTGTATAGGTGCTGTAGGATCAGTACCTTTTAACAAAGGTCGTAAAGATTGCAAA